TACTGTATCATTGCATGTCATTAAGTTCTTACTTTTTTTTGCTGACCCACTACTTTACCAAGTATGATGTCCTTTGCCAGTGACTGGTCCATCCAGGTAACAAGTCCAAAGTGCATGAGACAAAGTCTCCCCATCCTTGGTTCTAAGAAGCATTCTGACTGCACTTCTTCCAAGACACATTAGTTCATTCTTTAGCCAAAACCAAAAATTCAAACTCACTCTCAGAGTCAATACCAACTCATAGCAGCATGATATAGAGTTTTTGAGACTGTAACTCTTTCTGGGAGCAGACAACCTCATCTGTCTCCTTCAAAATGGCAAGCAGGTTTGAACTATCAACCTTGTGGTTAGTAGTCCAGTGCATATTCTACAGTGCCATGGTATAGTCACTATTACTTGCCAACACCACAATTCAAATGCATCAATTCTTCTGTCTTCCTTATTCATTTTGCATGCATAGGAGGTCATTGAAAATACCATGGCTTGGGTCAGGTACACTTCAATTCTCAAAGTGACATATTTGCTTTCTAACACTTTAAAGAGGCCTTTTACACCACATTTCCCCAATGTAATAATTCATTTAATTACTTGACTACAGTTTTCATGGGCATTGAATGCAGATCCAAGTAAAATTAAATCCTTAACCACTTCGACCTTTTCTCTATTTTTCATGATATTGTTGATTGGTCCAGTTGTAAGGATTTTTGTTCTTTCTGTTGAGGTGTAATCCATACTGAAAATTGTGATTTTTATCTACATCAATAAGTGCTTCAATTTTTCTTCACTTTCAGAAAGCAAGGTTGAGTCATCTCAGGTTGTAAAGAGACTTTCTCTAATCCTAATGCTTCGTTCTTCTTTAGACAGCCCAGCTTCTCTGATTATTTGCTTAGCATACAGATTGAATGACTCTGGTAAATGGATACAGCACTGACACACACCTTTCTTCATCTTAAACCACGCAGGATACTCTTGTTCTATTCAACTGACTGCCTCTTGGTCTACGTACAGGTTCCCCATGAGCACAATTAAGTGTTCTGGGATTCCTATTCTTCATAATGTTATGCATAGTTTGTTATGATCTACACTAGCAAATGCCTTTGCATAGTCAATAAAAACACAGGAATATGTCTTTCTGATATTCTCTGCTTTCAGTCAAGATTCATCTGACATCAGTAATGTTATTCCTCCTTCTACATCCTCTTTTGAACCCCTCTTGAGTTTTTGGCAACTATCTTTCAAAGTATTGCTGAGACTGTTTTAAATTCTCTCAAGCAAAATTCTACTCATGTCTGATATTAGTGGTATTATTCAATAATCTCTGCATTCTGTTGGATCACCTTTCTTTGGAATGGCATAAGTATGGATCTCTTCCAGTCAGTCAGCCAAGTGTTCTCAATTTCTTGGCATAATGAGTGACTGCTTGTAGTGTTTCGTCATTTGTTGAAGCATCTCAATTGGGATCCGGTCCATTTCTGGAGTCTTGTTTTACACAAGTGCCTTCAGTGCAACTTGGACTTCTTCCTTTAATACCATCAGTACTTGATAATATGCGACCTCCTAAAATGATTGAATGTTGAACAATTCTTTTTGGTATGCTGATTCTGTGTATTCCTTTCATCTCTTTTCTATATTTCCAACATCATCCAATGGAATCCTGGTATGGTGCTATAAGATAAGCACTGGACTGCTAACCAAAAGGTCAACAGTTCAAACTCACCAGCCACTCCTGAGAAACCCTATACAGGGTCACTATGAGTCAGAACCACCACCACCACCATTCCACATTCAAGAGCAAGTCCCAGAGTCTCTTCTAACATCCATTCTGGTTTTCACATCCTTTCCTGGTTTTTTCTTTTCTTTTTTTTAGGAACCTTGGGGGCACTGTAGGTTAAATGTTTGGTTGGTAACCACAATCGGCAGTTCGAACCCACCCATGAGTCACTCCAAGGGGAAAGAGAAGGTTACCTTGTCCCATAAAGATTTACAGTCTCTGAAACCCTAGGGTGCAGTTCTACTTTGTCCTACAGGGTTTATACGAGTTGGAATTGACTCAAAGGCAGTGAGAGTACAGATAGTATTCTAGGGGTCTGGAAGTGCAGTTGTGGTTGTTGTTAAATGCCATTGAGTTGGTTCTGGCTCATAGTGATCTTGTATAGGCTTTCCGAGGAGCAGTAGATGGGTTTGAACCACCAATCTTGTGGTTAGCAGTCCAATGCTTATCCCATAGGTATTACTGTTGATAAATGCTGTTGAGTCGATTCTGACCCATAGCGACCCTGTATAGGGTTTCCAAGGAGTGACTGGTGACCTTGAACCTCCCACCTGTGGTTCAAACGACTTTGCAGTCCAGCACATTAGTCCACAGCGCCACACCAGGACTCCCCCATAGATATTTGTTGTTATTGTTAAGTGCCGTGGAGTCAATCCCAACCCATAGCGACCATGTATAGGGTTTCTGAGGAGCAGCTGGTGAGCTTGCTGAACCTCCGACCTCAAACGGGTTTGCTGTCTGGCGCATTAACCTACAGCGCCACAGGCATAAAATGAAAAGGAAGATGTGCTGCTGAACTAAGCAGTTAAAGAGAGAAGGAGGTGGGGATTAGATCTGGGAGGAGTACGTAGATCCTATTAAAAAGCTGGAATTTACTCTAAAATCCATGATGGATTCGAAACAGGAGTAGATTCCGATCATAGTGACCCCTAAGAGACTAGAACTGCCAGCTAGAGAAGCCGATTGCCACATTTTTTTCTTGTGGAGTACTTTGACCTCGGTGCCACTGCTGCCGCTGCTGCGTGCCGTGGAGTCGGTTCCGACTCATAGCGACCCTGTACAGGGTGTGCAAGGCTGTAAATCTTTACGGGAGCAGAACGTCTCATCTTTCTTCCGCGGAACAGCTGGTAGTTTCCATCTGCTGACCTTGCAGTTCACAGCCCGATTCGTGTCTCTTTAATATTAATCATATCAGACATGTATTAAACCAGGCACTAAGCCCATTGCAAACATGATCTCGTTTACAACACAGCAACCCTACGTGGTTGGCATTAGTGTCAACATCTCCATTTGTTACAAGTGTTTACACGTAAGGCAATCAAAGTTGAGAGGACACTTGGCCCTTAAATGAAGGAATTGGAAGTGGGGGCAGATTTGAAAAAGATTTAGGAGCTAAATTCTCATTCACATTATATGTTGATGATGATAAACATAAAAGCGGTATCTTTCGTTACCCACACTTTCTAGAACTCAGTGCCAGGTTCGACATCGGGAAGGAGGCAAAATTAGGTGTTGGTGAGGAGCTGACAGTTTATGTCAAAATCACATAAAACTTCCACATGCACAGGTAGCAACTTCACTTCTGTCCAAACCAAACCCACTACCAAGGAGTTCTATTCTGCAGAGTAGAACTGCCCCAGAGGATTTCCAATGGAGTTCTGGTGTGGCTCTGTGGGATCAAGCACTAGACTACAAGGTGGGTTTGAACCACAGGCCGGCACTTAACAACTACAATCTTTATGGAAGTAGACTGCCTCATCTTTCTCCCAGACGGTTGGCAATTCAAAACGGTGGGCCCTTTGGTTGGCAGCTAGGCGCTTAAATCATTGCATTACCAGACCTCTCACTGCTTCCCATCTCACAAACCCGCCTCACTCTGCGGTGGCTCCGCTGGCCCCACCCCCAGCCGGGGGCGTTTCCGCGGGCCACGTGGTCAGGCGTCCGCTCACAGGCGGCTCCCAACGCCGGCGCTTCCGGGTTGACGGCGGCGGCGGCGGCGGCGGCAGCCGGGCGGAAGCTGGAGTGGCGCTGAGGCCCTAGTGAAGGGCAGCGGAGCTGAGGTGCGAGGCTCCGTGGGAGCGGCTGCACGCTCACGCCGCTGCTGGCCAGCCGTGTCCCGACCCAGACCTGAACCCTGCAGGACGCCCCGAAAGGTAAACCCGTCCCCGGCCCGATGTCGGTGAACGCGGGGCCCAGCGGCGGTGTGGACCTCCCTCAGCCTGGCCGCCACTTGCGTCCCAGCCACCTTTAGGGAATTGTCCGCCAGCAGCTGCGCGAGCCTTCTGACGGCAGCCGGACTGTTGCAGTTGTGTTTCCAAAGCGAGGCTCTGCAGCTTATTCTATTATTTTATTGCAGCTACCTCAAGATGTAGGAGCTCTGGTAGCGTAGTGGTTACGAATCGGAAACCCTGTACAGGGGTCGCTATGGGTCGGAACCGACTCGAAGGCACTTAACAACAACAACACAACAACCTCAAGATGTAGTTTGCAGGTGTACTTTTTCTTGATGAAATTGCTGACAGCACGTATGGGAAATTGAGATGGTGTAGCCCTCATTCCCGTATGTATGCATCAGAGAAAGTTAGTGCGGTGGGGGTGTAAGGTTTTAGAGATGGATAATCCCAGTTCCTTCATTTTACGGAGGAGAAAACAGAACCTAAAAGATTACATGTTGTTGTTGTTAAGTACCGTGGAGTTGATTCCGACTCATAGTGACCCTGCAAAGGGTTTCCAAGGCTGTAAATCTTTATGGGAGCAGAAAGCCTCCTCATTCTCCCGTGGAGCAGCTGGTAGTTTTGAACTGCTGACCTTAAGTGTGGCAGCCCAAGTCAACTGGTAACTAATCTCTACCAGAGCTTCTTAAAAAGATTACATGGATACTGGGAATTCATCCTGCTGGTTAATAGTACAACAGGAATGAAAACTCAAAAGCTGCTTTTTTTTAAATTGACTTTATGAGCAATGGTAAATGGCAAAATTACGTTCACACAATGTGATGTGAATAGCAGGGTCATTTGTGTTGGGGTGTGACACTGTGGGTTAATGCACCAGACTGCAAAGCCGTTTGCACTGCAAGGTCGGTGGTTCATCAAGCTTCACCAGCTGCTCCTCAGAAACCCTATACAGGGTCACTATAGGTCAGAACAGACTTGATGGCACTAAACAACAACAACAATCTTGATAGACATGCTTCTTCCTTTTTAAATAATGTTGTTTTCTAATTTTCAGGTTTAAGCCTTAACTTACAAAGATAATGGCAGAAACATCAGCAGAGCAGATTTCTGGTCACCTTGTGATTCACTCAGATACTCACGGTGACTCCATCCTGGCCAGTTTTCAGGATCAGAGGAAGAAAGGCTTTCTCTGCGACATCACCTTAATTGTGGAAAATGTGCATTTCCGGGCCCACAAAGCCTTACTTGCTGCCAGTAGCGAATACTTCTCAGTGATGTTTGCTGAAGAGGGGGAGATCGGCCAGTCCATATATATGCTGGAAGGCATGGTTGCTGATACCTTTAGTGTCCTGCTGGAGTTCATCTACACAGGGTATCTCCGTGCCAATGAGAAAACTGCAGAACAAATCCTAGCAACTGCTCAGTTCTTAAAAGTCTCTGACCTGGTAAAGGCTTATACAGACTTTCAAAATAACCATAGCTCCCCAAAGCCAGCAACTCTGAACACTGCTGGTGCTCCAGTGGTGGTAATTTCTAACAGGAAAAATGATCCACCCAAGCGGAAACGAGGAAGACCAAGAAAAGTCAATAGTTCACAGGAGGGGAACTCAGGACTGGCTGCTGAGGAAGAAATACAGCTCAGAGTGAACAATTCTGTTCAAAATAGACAAAATTTTATGGTTAAAGAAGGAGATTTTGGTGTAGTGGACCAACAGGTTCCAGCGAAAGAAATGGAAGTGCCTCAGCCTACTTGTGAGTCAGGTGATGGGGAAGAAATGCCGGCTGAAAAAGATGAGAACTGTGATCCCAAGACCCAGGATGGGCAGGACAACCAGAGTCGGTATAGCAAGCGGAGGATTCGCAGATCTGTCAAACTCAAAGATTACAAACTCGTTGGGGATGAAGACGATCAGGGTTCTGCCAAAAGGGTCTGTGGAAGGAGAAAACGTGCTGGCTCTGAGGCCCGCTGTAAAGATTGTGGCAAAGTCTTTAAGTACAATCACTTTTTAGCAATCCACCAGAGGAGCCACACTGGTAATTACATTTTTGTAGCTTTTTGGAATTTGGTATAGTAATGGTAATATTGTTATTAGCTGCCTTAGTCGATTCTGACTTGTGGTCATCTTACAAACAACAGAACAAAACACTGCCTCATCCTGTACCTTTCCCACAGTTGCCAGCATGTTTGAGTCCATCAATGGATGTGCCAGTCCATCATACTAGGGTCTTTCACTCCCTTGTTGCCACCTCTCCTTCACCAAATACAATGTCCTCCTTGACTGATCCCTCCTGATGGTGCTATGTCCAAAGAAAGTGTGTTGGACATTATTCTGTTGTGGTCCATCAACTTTTCATTGGTCATTTTTTATTATCAGGGCTTTCTCCTTAGACTATGTGGAAATTCTGCTGAACCTGTCTACCATGAGTGACCCGGCTGCTGTTTGAAACACCAAGGGCATAGATTCTAACATAACAGTACACAAGCCCCACAGTGCGATAAGCTGACAGGTGGTAGATGATAGTAATAACATTTATTGTGCAACTTCTATGTGACATGCACTGTACTCAAAGCTTTCTATGCGGTATTGTATTTCATTCCCACAGCAATCCTGTGAGGTAGATAATATCACCATTGAACAGATGAAGAAACCAAGCCTTGGAAACTTAACTTACCCTGGTTTTCCGTTTAGTGACTGAACTGGCATTAGAACCCAGGTAGCCTGATTTCCAAAACCCTGGTTCTTACATGGAGTTGTTGGTTCAAGGCCATCTAAATGATGTCTTTGTGCTGTTCTTTTGGGATCTCTCCTGTTTGGGGTTCGTTCAGCTTCTTGTATTCCTATCTTCTCATCTTTTCATGATGTTAGGGAAGTTTTCTTCCAACAATGCGTCAACAGTTTTCTCTGTGCTCTTCTTGAATTCCTGTTACCATAAATTGCTCCTCTTCATGGTATCCCATATAACTCGTAGGCTTTCTTCGTGTTTTTTCATTCTGTTTTCTGATTGTTCTTCTAGCATACTGATAATTGAGAGAGTTCTCTTCAAGCTCACTAATTTGGGCTTCCATTGCTTCACATCTACTCCTGTGCCCTTTCAGTGTGTTGTACATTTCTGAGATTGTAGTGTTAATCTTCTGGATTTCTAATTGCAGGTTTTGTATTATTTCCAAATTTGGAAGTGCCTTATTCTTGACCACAAGTATGCTTTTGCTAAGGTGTTTTCTTCTGATTGGACAACTCTCATGCACCCATCCAGTCATTCTACTTTCTTCTTTTTGGTCCCTCAAAATGACACTTAACAACAACAGCCTAATGCTAAAGAGCCCTGGTGGTGCAGTGGGTTAAGTGTTGGACTACTAACTGTGAAGTCACACTTTAAACATACCAGCCACTGCAGAAGACACACGAGGCTGTTTGCTCCCGTAAAGATTTACAGTCTTTGAATTCTTGTGGATCATTTCAGTTCTGTCTTGTTAGTCACCGTGAGTCAGAATCGACTCATTAACAGGGGATTTTGTTTGAGCCTAGTGCTAAGGGTCCCTGGTGGAACAGTGGTTAAATACTAGGCTGCTAACCAAGAGCTTGAAGTTTAAATCCGCCAGCTACTCCATGGAGAACGATGTGGTAGTCTGCTTCTGTGAGGCAGTTCTACTGTCCTATAGGTTCTCTGTTGTGCATAGGATCACTATGAGTCAGAACCAACTCGACTGCACTTAACAACAACATGTATTCCTGGAGGGCAGGGATCATTCATTGCTAGAATTCTTGCCTTCCATACAGGAGGCCCGGGCTCAATTCCTGACCAGTGCACCTGAAGCACAATCACCACTTACCTAGTCAGTAGAGGCTTGTGTGTTGCTGTGGTGATGAACAGGTTCTAAAGAGCTTCCAGATAATGGCAGGGCCTGAAGGACTGCAGATTCTTGGCTTATACCCTACTTGTCATTCCAGGGGAGCGACCTTTCAAATGCAATGAGTGTGGAAAAGGCTTTGCTCAGAAGCACTCCCTGCAGGTCCACACCAGGATGCATACTGGCGAGCGGCCGTACACCTGCACTGTCTGCAGCAAGGCTCTGACCACCAAGCACTCGCTGTTGGAGCACATGAGTCTGCACTCAGGTAGCCCCACTCAAACCAGGGGGCCCACTGCCACCGGACTCCTGTTCCTAGGGTGGGCATTCCTGTGATCTAAGTGGTTTTTCCTCAGCCTGTGTCTTAGAAAGATGGAATTATGCGTCAGCCACACTATAGCATAGAACTCTGTACAACATTAAACCTTAAAACTAGGGCTTGTGAATTGACCAATGGGACTTCAGTAAGCAAATTTTTTTTTAACCTCTAGTTTAGAATTATTTTACCTTGAATGTCTTTGGTAGAAACCTGACTTTCTCCAGTGCTACCCAGTGGTGCTGTGGGTTAATGCGCTGGACTGCAAGGTTGGTTTGAAACACAAGGTTGGAGGTTCAGACTTAACCAGCCACTCCTTGGAAACCATATACAGGGTATCACTATGAGTTGGAGCCAATTCAAGGGCACTTAACAATAACACCCAGGGCTTGGAACTGGCTCATTGAGGTTTATAACCCCTTGCTGAGAATTTGCCTTTCTACCCCAGATATGCTGAATCAGAATATAAATTTTCATTGTGTTTAGGGGATTATGCTGAATTGAACCCGTTGACAACCTGGTTCTACCCTAGTCTCCACCATTCCCTATTGTCTCACATACTCTTGCACATTAATGTTACTGCCATAATCTCTGAAAACATTTGAGTTTGCACACACATCACTTATACTCTTTTGTAGAAAATGGGCATCTAGGCCTATTGTGGTATTTACCTTGTTAGCATCCCAGTTCTCCGTAGTTTTTGCATAGTTTCATGTTTTACTTTTTCATTTAGCAGGACAGAAGTCCTTTACCTGTGATCAATGTGGAAAGTACTTCAGCCAGAAAAGACAACTAAAGAGCCACTACCGGGTCCATACAGGTACAATAAAGGAGGAGACGTTTGGATTAGTTGTGGGATAATCACAGGTTCAAACGAGTCGTTTCTGATGCATTACATTCAAACTGTAGATGGTGTTTCGAGGAAAGGATCTTAAAAGCAATCTAAATTAGATGTTCTGCAGTATTCTGTGCTACCGTACGGTTTATATTTCATTTGTGTACTACATTATTTGTGTGACACATAGAAACCCAACAGAATTAGTAGTTTGTAAAAGTGCCACTTGCCTAAGAGGATGGCAGGTAATAGCTGCTGGTGATGCCTACACAGACATCACCACGCCATGACTCAGTCCCAGCTTTCTCCCTCCTAGCTTGACCCATTGTCATTTTTCTTTCCTGTCAACTTGACAGGGGTGTTGGGATATCACCTGAGATCCTTTGGCCATAGCCACACCTGTGCTTCAAGAAAAAGGAGATTTGTTGTTTGTAAGACTGACACTCTGCTCTGTAAACCTTCACTCAGTTAATGATAAAGTTAAAAAAGGAAAAAAAAATGTTACATTAAGGAAGATCGAAGGGTCCCAACTCTCTCGGGGAAGTAGCTTATTCTCACTAGTTACGGTGCATAGGAAAATAATAACTGTTGCCAAATTAATAAAAAATTACTGTTGTTCAATTAAAATACCGTATTGAAAGTGATTATTTTTCAGGGAAGTGCATTAACACAGATCACTGAAGAAATGCAGGGAGAGCGTATATGCACTGACACTTTTTTTATTGTTGCGACAAGGCCACTCGTTACCGGAGTGCAACCACTGTCATCGCAAATTCATGGATGTGTCTCAGCTAAAGAAACACCTACGCACACACACAGGTAAATACCATCTCTTCGTCCCTTTCCTGTACACTGTGTTTTCCAGAGAGTGACGTCTAAAGTATTCTGAGCCGCTTCTTAGATGGTGTTTGGAAATGCTTATTGTACATTGGCCGGGAATTTATAAGTAGATCATTTAGAAGCCTAAGGCAGAATGCTGTTAGCAGTTTCTGTGGATAAGTCACATCTTTTGTAGATTAGGAAGATGGAAATCGCTTACTGAATACTTTTTATGTATGGAAATGCATTGACTACAACAAAACAGGGCAAGTCTTAGTCTGGTTCAGAATTTGGTTCATAATTGATTTAAGCATTAGGTATTACCAGGATATTTTTAGAGAAGGAAGGAAAAGGAAACAAGGACAGAGGTGGTGTTGGCACTAAGAACTTTCCCATTCTCACCTAGAACCAACACTGGTGACGTGAGCAGTACCATCTCTAGAAAAGTCGGCTCTGGGGAGGAGGAGGAGGCAGGACTGATGAGGGCAGCTCAGATTCTTTCACTGAAGTTGAGAAATGGATAACTATAGCTCTCAACCTTTTGGTCAAGAGCATTTATTCAAAATAAGCCTCAGATTTCCTAAAAAAAAACTTTTCCATTGTAGGTTGATAATTTATTCTTAATCATTGTCTGTTAAGTTATATACAAAAATGATGTAACTTGATTTATGGTGTCACCTCTGACTTCCCACTTCACCAGTGGCAGGGAGGAGAATCACCACTGGCATCAACTCTTGGCCAATTCCTGTGAGGCTGAGGTCAGACCTGCCTCCGCCCTCCACCCTCCTTTACCAGTTCTGATACCACCCAGCCTCCCCTGGCACTCTTTGCTTCTCAGCTGAGTTAGAGAGTTCACTGCAGTGGCCACACACAAGTCACAGATCACACTCACCATTTTGGGTTTTATTAGGAAAGTTCACAGGGTACAGTTCAGGACCAGAAATGTTCAGGATACAGTTCTTTGATCAGGACAGCCTCTCCCTAGCCATGTCCACAGGTAGGCCTCTCTCTAGTCCTCTGCCCCCTGGCCTGGCCACAGCCTTGCTCTAGCAATGCTACAAAGCTCTGTTAGGTCTGCTGGAAAATGCCTAAAGAACATTCCACTCATTTTAAGCCTCAGCCTGAAGACGTTTGGTTGTAGCTCAGGTGTCAGCAACCTAGCTCCCTAAGTTAAGTGCCTCAAGGCACTCCACTCCAAAGTGAGCCTGAATGCACTCAGCTTTACTTCTGTGGTGGGCCAGCCCACCGCTCCGGAATTGAGGAGGTTCAACACAGAGGGATCTTGGGGTCCAAAGGATGTGCTCCACTCCTGGCTCTTCTTCCAAGATCCCACCTACTGCTGCTGAGATGGTTCATTTTATACCCGGCAGGATGGCAACATTGATCAAGTCCCCCCCACCCCCCCTTGCAGGTTATAGTCCAAGTTTTCACAATCAGTTAGCCCTGTTAAATCACTCACAACTGAACCGTATCATCCTATCAGTGTCTGCTCCACCTTCATTTACCCAGACCTATCAGGAAAAATGTCATTTGGTGGGGGTTACAAGGACTAGGGCTACAAGAGCCACACTTAGCAGTTCACTGCACCACAGTTCGCCTTGGACTGTTTAACAAATGTTATTGTTCATAAAGTCGGTAAATGTCACAGGACATGAGTTTCCTATGTACAGTCTTTCTACAGACATTGCCAGTAATAGGGTCTGTGAAATGTAATTCATTTAACCAATGAACTGGACAAAATGTTTACTGAGCACTGCACCAGGCCCTGAGGATACAGCAATGAGTGAGAGGGAGCAAGCTTCTGCTCCTGAGAGCTCACAGTGCAGCAGGGGAGTCAGAGAGAAGTAACTGTGTAACGTGTAGATGGCGGATGAGCGTTAGGAAGACCTATGAGGGTAAGTGGGCCGAGCACTGCTGTGGGGCTGGTCAAGGAAGGCCTCACTGGTGAGATGGGAGTGAGTGAACCACTGGGATGTCCAGGAGCAGAGGGAGCAGCAGGTGCAGACCCCTGAGAGAGGGGTACTTCTGATCTGCTTGAGGAGATGCTGGAGGGGCCAAGGCCAGAGGTCAAAGGAAGAGGGAGTGGTGTGAGTAGCAGTGAGAGGCAGCTGGAGGTTCCAGAGTGCAGGGTTCCACCTTAGCCACAGGTGAGCAGGACAGGCCTAGTCCAAACTCCGGGGACTCTGTTTACAGTGATCTGGGGTCAACTTGCAGTGTTGGTCCCTTAAAAGCTCCCCAAGTGATTATAGTATACAGTTAGGTTTAAGAAAAGATCCCTGATGGTGCAACAGTTAAGCACTCGACTATAACAGAAGGGTTGACAGTGTGACCCCTTCCGGAAGTTTCGATAGAGAAAAAAAATTGGCAATCTGCTCCTGTAAAAATGACATCTTAGAAAACCATGTAGGGCAGTTCTGGTCATGACTTGGGATCACTTTGAGCCAGAATTGATTCAGTGGCACCGAACAACAAAGCTTAAAAACTTTGGAGGCCACAGTAAAGACTGGATTGTATTTAAGGTTATAAGGAAAGCAGCTACATGATTTCACTTAAAATTTTAATAGGAGCACTCATACTACCATGTGTGGTGAGGGATGGAGAGATCTATTTGGAACCTGCGGCAGTAATGCAGATGGGAGAGAGAATAGTGGTGTGGCCCAGAGTGCTAGCAGTGGGAATGGTGAAAAGTAGTTTGATTCTGGATATATTTTGAAAGAAGAGACAACCTGGTTGCATGTGGACTGTGGTGGTATGGGTGAAAAAACTGGAAAGCAAAGCATCTAGGAGAAGGAAAGACTGGGGAAGACGGTAGCAGGAAGAAATCAAGCGTCTGGTTTTGAATGTGTTGGACTTAAACAATGTATATTTGACATCCAAGTGCAGCGGTGGCATAGGCGTATGAGAGTTGAGTCTGGAGTACAGGGAAAGAGAGGAATTTACATACCTACACATCATCCTGTCCATAGTGTGTAAAACTCTGTGGGAACACCTAGGGAGAAGAGCCAAGGTGGCTGGGCCAGGTTGAATAGTGCCAGAGAAGAATCACGCTATCTTGCTTTTTTGTCTTTTGAGCATAGGAGTTCGTGATGTTTCTGGTCTGTGAGTAAAATGAGGTTTTAAAGGAATACCAGTTCTCTCCTTTATTATGGTCCCAGCAAACTAAACCCAGAGGATGAAAATGGAAGGTTTGTATTTGGGGAAAGCAAGAAGCAAGGGTTCCAAAAAATGATTTATATGACTTACAGTCATTTAATTAGCACTGTGCAACAGAAGTATCACAATGAATGGCTTTCACCAATAGAAATGTATCCTATCACAGTTTAGGAGGCTAGCAGTCCTAATTCAGAGCCTGGGCTCTAGGGAAAGGTCCTGGTGTCCTTTCAGCACTTCTTGGAGCTCCCCATGTGTCTTGGCATTCATCTTTCCCAGGATCTGAGACTTTCACAGTGTAGAGGTCCCAGGTCCAAGGTGTGCTCCACTCCCAACTCTTCTTTCCTGATGGTAGTAGCTCCCTCTTTCTCTGCTCACTTGTCTTTCCTTTCATCTCTTGGAAGATAAAAGAAGTGTCGGCCCCACTGGGAAACTCCCTTACTTCTGATCAGGGTTGTGAGGGCGTCACAACTCAGAGATCATCCTCAGATCCCTGTGCCGAGTCGGTGCGGCTCTCAGGAGTCAGGCAAGCCAAGCAAACTCCCAGCACTGATAAACCAGCAGATGTATTAAGAAAGGGATGACATCTTTCCCTTGTCCACAGTACTTCTTTCCTGGCTTCATTTGTACCTGAGAACCAAGTTAGTAAGCAGAAGGCTACTTGGTGAGCTGGAGGCAATTCAGGGAAATTAGCTGAGGCAATGAAGAAGCGACCGGCCCCACCCCTCGGGGTCTCTCTTCCTTTCTTGGTTTTAGACTCTGATGCCCACCCTGTGGTGGGAATGGAGACTGCTCTGCCTAATAACACATAATAAAGGTAATTCACAACTGTTTTTTTAAAAATATAATCTGCCTCATTTGTTTAGATGAGACTAGAAGCTTCCTACATCTCCACTAATGATTTTCAGACCACCTCTGAATGTCCCTCATCCTGTGCTCCAGAGATCTGGAGGCCCTTCATGTAGTGACCCTTTCAGAGTCTCTTGGCTATATATGCTGACCCTCAGTAGAAGATGATAAAGAGCCAGGCTGGAGGTGGAAGCACGATGTAATGGAAGTGATCCACTTTCTCTGAGGAAGCATCCCAGAGGAAAGGAACTCTGCTCTGGATGAGAAGAGGTGCTCCTTGCAGGAAGACAGTGTGCAGAGTCTCAGAGTCTCAGAACCAGAAGGAGGTCTAAATGAAGGAACTCTTGGGGAAGACGCAGAATGGGTTTGTCAAACTATAGCGCTGGCCTGTAGTGAAGGCCAGGAGGGAGGAGGACCATAGAATATATTCAGAGAGGAGGCTTTGCGTACTGTAAGTTGTGTATTGGAAAGAACTTGGGCTGCCCCAGTAGGATGGACAGAGAAAAAGGGATGAAGCAGATGGGAGGTTCTTTAAGCAAGAAAGATAAAGGTCTGCAGTTCAGGGGATGAAATGAGATGTATTTCAAAGATGTTTAGTCTTTGAAAATATCTGCTCCCCACATAACAGAATTAGTTCTTGGCAAAGAATGTTGGAAGTACCACGGACTGCCAGAAAAACAAACAAAAAAAGTCTTGGAAGAAGTGTAGCCAGAAAAGAAGTGAGGGTAGTGAAAGAGACGTCATCCCATGTGCTTAGACAGGTCAGGAAGGACTAGTCTCTAGAGGAGGACATCAAAAAACTAGAGGGTCAGCAAAAAGAGTAAGCGTGTCAACGAGATGGACTGACACAGTGGCAGCAACAATGAGCTCAAATGGACAATTGTGAGGACGGTGCAGGACCAGGCGGAGTTTCGGTCTGTTGTGAGGGGGCAGCTATGAGTTGGAGTCAACTCAAAAGCTCCCAACGTGTCAAAGAGTTAATATCCCAAGTAAGGAAAATGTGGGCAGAAGGCATGAAAGATGCTTCACAGAAGAAGACAGAACTGGCCA